AAGGAATTGTCACATAGTTTGAAGGACTTTAAATATTTCTACTGGAACAATATTGCAGAAGGAAGGTAAAATAGATAATTGGTAAGCGTACAAATTTATTCAAATGGCATTCTTTACTGCCCTTGTGCCAACAAAAGTATCAAAATTCTTTTAGGTAAGACTGAAATAGATATTCTTGTGAACATTCATAACTATTCTATATAATAAAAAAAACTGCTGAGCCACTTTTAGAACTCATATCAAACTAAGAAACGAGACAAAAAATTAAACCATGACACATTACCTTTTTCACTAAAATAAATATTAATGACATGCAACCTACTCTTTTCGCTATCATAAAATAAAAATAAAAACAAAAAAGTATAATTTTCAACACATTATGGTTCTTTAATACTTTAATTGAGTTTATTTCGAGCATTTCGGTAATTGTCACACCCCGTCATTTAATACCAAATGAGTATAAACTGGTGACATTTAGCCTTAAATTCTAATACTCAGCACATGTGTGGCGTTATTACTGAGACGTAACGATAGAGCACACGAATAATCACCTACACACGTAAGAGATAAGCCAGCTGTGCGCATGGACTATGCCGATGAAGAGATAATACGCCAAGCGGACAGTCAAAGTGATTCCTCAAATTAAGCAAGGAAATAGTTAACAAAACAAATAAAAAGAGTCATTTGCTTAGAATTCTAATCATGCTTTGTTTATATTGTGGAATAAGTTTTTGAGAATCATTTGGTAGAGGCGGCGAGCCGTTAATATCTTCTTAGCTTAACTTTGAGCACATTTCTAATGCGGTACGTTCATACAGATTTATATGCCACCACTGACAATTCCACGCCCTGTTCTTGTTCTTTTCCTGGTGTTGCTTGTGTGCTAAGGTGATTTACCTGTATTTTCTTTTTGCTTCCAATTTTTTTTTTTACTATACTTTTTGCCCCAACTTAATCGCTTCTCACATAATAACAATATCAAATTACGCCATCTGAAGTCATAAACATAGATATACAATCAAGTGAATAACTACATGGAACCAGCGTGTTATTAACAGCAACAGTAGGTACAACAATAACAATCATGGTATTACTATGGTCTGTGGTACTGTGTGGCGGTGGTTATTTGGTGAAGTCAAAATGCTGATGACCTTCACGCTTTTACCAAAGAACATTTTTTGCGTTAATGTGTGTTGAAAAAAATTATTATTAAATAAGTTCTTTCGTTATGAAAATTTTTAAACTAAAATTATAAAAAAAATAATAAAAAAAAAAAATAAAATAAATTAAAAAATAAATAACATAAAAGAGAAATAAATCCAAATTAGATAAAATAAATTTAAAGTGAACTAAACAAAAATTATATTAAATAATATAAATTATAAAAGAAATAATTAATATACAAAAAGATAAAATACAATAAAATAGAATTTCAAATTAAAAATTAAATATATTTAATTTAATAGAAAAAATGAAATAAGACTAAATAAAATGAAAAATTAAAATCAAATAAAGTAAAATAAAATAAAATAAAATAAAATATAATAACTTAAAATAAAATAAAATAAAATAAAATAAAATCAAATCAAATCAAATAAAATAAAATAAAGTAAAATGAAATAAAATAGAATAAGATTAAATTACACTAAATTAAATTAACAAAAATGATAAAATAAAACACAATACAATGAAATAAATTAAAATAAAATAAATTAATAAAATTAAACATAAAAGTAAATGAATTAAAAAAAAATTAAATACAAATATAATATTAAATTACACTTAACAAAATGAAATAAAATAAAAAAAGGATGAAACAAAATAAAGTAAAATAAAAAAATTAAACAAAATTAAAAAATATAATAAAGTAGAAAAAAATAAATGAAAGTAAAATAATACAAAATAAAATAAAACAAAAATGAAATAAAAAAAGAAATTAAATAAAATAAAGTAATATACAATAAAGTAAAACAATAAAAAATAAATTGAAACGAAAGAAATAATATAAAATAAAAAATATATTATAATAAAAAATGAAATAAATTAACTTTTATTAAGTAAAATAAAATACAATAATATAAATTCAAAAAAATAAAAAAGTAAATAAAAAAATAAAATATAATAATATATAAGTAAAAATTAAATTACATAAAATAATTTTAATTAAAATTAAGTTAAATTAAATAAAACAAAATAAAATAACATAAATTAAAAAATGGAAATACAAAAAATAAAACATAACATAATAAAAAAATTAAACTAAATTAAAAAAAATTAAATTACGTAAAAAAAAACAAACAAATATAACAAAATAATAAAAAATTAAATTACTGATATTAAATTAAATTAAATTAAATATACAAACTAAATGAAATAAAAAAAAATAAAAATAAATTAAAAATAATAAAATTAAAAATAACAAATAAAAGAAACAAATAAAATCAAATAAAGTAAACTAAAAAAAAAAAACTAAATTAAAAAATGAAATAAAATTGAATTAATTTAATTAAAATAAATTTAAAAAATTAAATAGAGTAAAAAAATAAAAAAAAAAATATATATATATAAAAAATGAAATAAATTGAAATGAAGAGAAATAAAAAAAATTAAATAAAGTAAAATAAAATAATATTTACGCGAAGATTGCTTTTTTCGCTGTCTAATTGCCAGATACAAAATAAAATCATATAAACCGAAATACAACAAAAAATGTGGCAGGACAAAATTAAGTATGTAAATTAAAAAAATAAAAAATCTAACTTAAAAAACAATAATTATTTTATGACCAATTAAAATAGTTTAGAATTTCGTTAAAATGAAGGAAGATAAGAAATAAAATGCATTAAAATAGAAAAAAAAAAAATAAATAAATAGAAATTGAATGATGTAAAAAATTGAGTAACTAAAATATAGCTAAATATTTTAAATTAAAATATTAAAAAAATTAAAATAAGAATATAACCAAACACAAAAAAAGGATGTAAAAATACAATAATAAATAGTAAATAATAAAAACAAATACTATTATTTCATTAATAGTAAAGTTTAAATACATAATAAACATTTAAAATGCTGACAATAATAAACTCGGTTTGCTTGACATTGAAAGGCAGGTATTTTTTTTATTTTTTTTTTTATTTGCAAAAGCTTCCCGTGTGCAAAACTAAGACTTACTTAAAAGAACTAGTTTACCCAGATCTTGACTTGAATTTAATTGCGTTTAAATTCAAGTGAAAAAAATCGTAGGTTTAAAACCTTAACTAGAATTTAACAAGGCAAATTACGACTTTTTGCGAAATTTGGTAGATGAAAAATTTAATACTAAAGAAAATTAAATAAAATGAGATAACGTATACACGCTTGTGTTTGTATGTAATTGTGAAACTGGACAGCTGATAGGCTTAGATGTAAAATTCTAAGCACACAAACAACAGGTGATTATACTTACACACACACTTTTTTATTATTTCATTAAACGAAATAATCTTCTTTTTTTTCATAGCCATAAAAAAGAGCAATTCATGTATTCTTATATTTTTTTTTTCGTTTAAAAAATAAATAAATTTTTTTAGCCACTACTGGCATTTTGGTAGTATTATTTTTATTTTATTTTGTAGATGTTGATTAAAATCTGCCAGTTGCGCGTTTGCGCATGCGCACATAACCGCCTAGTTTTTTCTCCTATTGCTTGTTGTTTTTGCTAATGACAAGTACATGTTGTTGGTGATGCGGCTGATCTGTTGTCGGTAGTGATGTGATTGCTTTTTGCTACATTGTTGTTATGTCTATGGTGATTATTTTGTTACTGAGCAAAAGAAGGAAGTAAGTACATAGAACACGAAATTTTAATGTTATTTATTTTTAGCTTTTTTTTTTTTGAGTTTGTAAGAACCAGCCAAATGCCATTGATCTTTTATAATTTAAGGAAATTAAATCTTGAAATCAAGAATCTTACAATTTATTAGACAACCAATTAAATTTGGTGGTGAGTCAGTAATCATTAAAGGCGAAAATAGAAAGAAATCGGTTAATGTATGTATGAACGAGTATGTATGTAATTGTAATCTATATAATATATTTATTATATATATGAGTGGATTAACAAAAGTTCGGTGAATTCGTGACTTTCAATTTGTTTTTGTTAAATCAAAAAATACCAAATCCTTTGCAATTATTTTATTAGTCTTCCCTTCAAATTTTGGAATGAACGGCTAAAATGGAGACGAGAAAACGCAAGATAGCTGGGAGTAGGTCAGACGAAATTCCACCACTAACGCAAACAGAAACTCGCCATGTGAGTTCGGCATAATTTACAGCCAATACAAACAACCGATGAATACCAGATTGCATATGGTACGATTGAATGGTTTTTAAAGACTATTTCTAAGTTATTCCGAAGATTTCAGAACGGACATTTTTCTGTAGAGGAATAGCCCCGAGAAGATTGACCAAAACCTTCCACTGAGGACGTCACTGTAGTTCTGGTTAAGTCCAAAATTGGCGAAGACCTACGATTGGCACAATAAATGATTGCTAATAAATTGGGCTTGATGGCCATGACTGTATCGCGAATATTAAGGAATTATTTGGTATGCACGAAGTAATCTGCAAGATCTGTAAATCTTATAAAATTACTGTCCGATTGAATGATTTAATTTTGACAGATTATATCAAGGGTTCGGTTCATAGGTGACTTTTTTGATAGGATTAACAGAAAAACTTATCTTCTTTTCGGGAAGTGATGCATGATTTATTTGATTTTATTTTTTTAGAATTCCTCGGTTAAATTTCAAAACTATCAAAAATTAAACAAACCGTTTCGCATCTTCACTATTCGTAATTGCTTCTGTACCAGAGGGTGCTTCTTTGATCTTCACCCTACATACGACTGCTGTGTCACCAAAGTACAGAGCCGCCACAAAATCCTCAAATCGCTACTTTATGATTATGAAACACATCTAGATGTTACAACCCTGTGCGTAATTTGTGGTACACAACCAAATGTCAGAGGTGACATTTCGTTGTGGGTGTTGTTTTTTTCAGTGCTTCGTTGTTTAGACAAATTCTGATAATATTAGTGAATCAGCGTCGACAATTTCGTTTTAAGCTATAATAAAGTCAATTAAATATAAAACTCTGAATTCGTAAATAGAGAACACCAAAGTAATAATTATGGCTGCCACATTGAAGCCTTATTTGACTGCTGTGCGTCACTCATTAACTGCTGCTATGTGCTTACAAGATTTCCCTTCGCAAGTTGTCGAGCGACATAATAAGCCCGAGGTGGAAGTGTGTTCCAGCAAGGAATTAGTCCTAACCCCAGTGGTTATTTCACGCAACGAACGGGAACGTGTTCTAATTGAGCCTTCAATTAATTCAGTACGTGTGAGCATTGCCGTAAAGCAGGCGGATGAAATCGAGAAAATCCTGTGCCACAAATTTACACGTTTTATGATGCGACGAGCTGAATCATTCATCATTTTACGTAGGAAACCAATTGATGGCTATGATATTAGTTTTCTCATCACCAATTTTCATACCGAACAAATGTATAAGCACAAATTAGTTGATTTCGTTATCAGCTTTATGGAAGAAATTGATAAGGAAATAAGCGAAATGAAATTGGCTGTAAATGCGCGTGCACGTACCTGTGCAGAGGAATTTCTAAAGCGTTTCTAGGAAAACATTATTTTATTAAATTAAGGAATCATATTTGAAAATCACTTTGTATTCCAGTAAACAGTATGTATTGTATGAAAAACTCAACTGAGGTGCATGCAAAAAAAGGCCAGCAAATAAAGTATTCAACATTTGTATACCAAAAAATGCAGCTTTCTTCTAGTTTTATATACAAAATTCTTACATTTCATTTTTTACACATTCAGTTTGTTTACTAAATAAATATATACTTAAAACTATGTTAATATTAAAATATTTCTATTTACAAAGCCAATGTAATTGCTACCAACATTGATTCTAGATAGTTTAATTCAATTCTTGATCTACGGGAGATTTACCAATCCACCACAATCTTAAGGTATTTTCGTATTCTACAGTTATGTCTTCATTTTGCGCCGCCTTTTGATTTTCCAATGATGTTTCACACTCGGAAGTATCCACAAAATGATGTTGCCCTGAGCTAGTAGCTATTATTGGTAGTGAGGGGTGGAAATTCACACCATTGCAACAATCTCCATGTATCTTCAACTGCAAGAGCACAAAATTATGTATAAAATAATTAATTTAAGTTAATATACAATTTTCTCACCACTTCCTCAACATTATTTTCTAAGTCCCATATGCGTATATTTCCATCAGTACCCCCACTCACTAACCAACGTTTCTCTTGTGGGCTTAAATCGAAGTATATACGTTGATTGGTTGCAACATTTCGAGTAAAATCTCTAACGGGTTCGGTGTAATTTCGCATGTCCCATTCTAATATTTTATTATCTTTACGAGCTCCACTAAATAATGTCCAGCTATCACTTTCGGATAGAGCAGCATAACGTAACCAGGTTATACCCCCCGTGTGTCCGCCCAGAGTAAAAAGTGGGCCCAGTTTTGGTGCTCGCAAATCATAATGATTTATCAATCCTTGCCAAGAACCAGTAGTGACGGTTCTGTCATTGTCTGTTGTAAGTGCAAAACAGGAGATAGCTTGCTTCACCGCAATAGAGTTCAAGTCGCGACCAGGTCTAAAAAATAATAATTGGGAATTTTAAGGGTAATAATGAATTTTATTTTACAAAAAAAAAACAAACTTACACCTTGGTGTCAAATATTTTTATAGATTTCTTATAGCCACCAAAAATCTTTTCACCATCATTCGAAAATGTTATGGCTATAGCCGATTCCACTTCATCTACACTGTCGTAACCACGATAAGAACAACGGAGTTCACCGGTAAATGCATCCCACATATGAATGGGTTCATGTTGCCGCGATGCAAGCCAACTATTAGAAATAAATATCATAGCATTCAGCAAGGCAAAGTTAAATTTATAACTTCAAATATTTTTTGTTTCTTACCAACAAGTCTCTGGTGCACTACTATTCATAAATGGATACCACGCGTAATCATAGACAGTACCACCTTCCTTTACGTGAACTGCAGATGTCAATGTACTTACACTACGCTTTGATGGTATCGTTTGTGTTGAGAAAGTATTATATAAATCATTTGGTAGCTCAATGACGTGCATACCTAGAAGTATTAAAATCATTTAATAAATGTATGCAGCCCCTACTACTTATTTTTAATTTTTACTTACCATCTAAGTGTACCGCAGTTAATATACATGTACCGTCTGGTGACCATAAACAGCCTTTTGTGTAGTGCTGCTTCTCAAGGGATGAATCCCACAAGCGACGCCCTAATTCGACGAGTGCACACTGAAAGAGATCTTCATCCTTTGTAAGATTTTCCACTTGATTTGATATATCCAAATCAATATTTTGATTTGTATCATTAAGTGTTTCACTCTGCATTAAACTCTCTTCAGCTTCCACATCCTCGACGCTACTTTCAGTCAAAAATATATCTGTCGTGTTTTCTTTTACAATTGTAGAAGTTTTTGGTGGCGATTGTAGATCCTCCTCATCCACTGTCATACTCAAGTCCATTTTGTCTAAGTTTCCATTGTTATTTAAACTAAAGGAATAAGTTGTGTTGCGTATAACCGGCGCTAATTGAAGACGATATAGATGAGAGTTATATCCTACTGCATATATGCATTTATAAACTTACACATTTCAGTATTGCCTGCTGAACTCATTTTGTTGTTATTTATATTTGCTTCCCTTGCTTAAACCGCTTATAGTGAACTTTTATTATAAGCAAAAAGTTTTCAGAATTTACTATTGTGTTACGAACGGCTGTGTACGTTTATAATGCTCACACTAATTTAGTTTTATTTAAATAATATAAAGACTTTTAATATAACCTTTGGCAGAATTACAAATATGCCGGCAGATTAAATTCGTTACTTGCACAGCTGATAATCTGTTATTTGTTTCTGCATTTGACGGCTGGTTGGCGTTGCCAACTACATGCATTTTTTGTTCTGACGGTGCGCAAACTTTCACAAATATTTTAGCAGGTCATTAGATATTTTCTTAAACTTTCACATAGCTTTTAAAATATTTATGTATGAGTATTAAAATATATTACAACCTCCATTTGAATATTTTATTCGACAAAGGTCTTTTTATTATCAAATAAAAGTTCGAAGAAAACATTCTTACAAAACTGAATATAAAATACATACATACATATGTTAAGCAACTTCCTGATACGCGTGCGTTTCATTCAATTCGAACTAATGCGTTTCTCCGGTTCTTTATTTCCAATCACTTCTTCATCAATCAGTATATCCCTACGACATTTTCTCAAAGCTTTACGCATAATCAACTCTTGCAGTTCCTGCTCCTTACGACGTTCTTCCTCTTCCAATTGTCGCCTATACTCATTGGCTTCAAACTCAGCTTTGGACGATATCTCATGCACCAAACTTAAATTCTCCATTATGCCTTTACGTATGAGATAGGAAAAATTCATAGCTGTGGAATATTTGATTTCCATGCCGCCACGATTGGATAGCTCTTGCCAATGCATAAATAACCAGTTTTCATTTTTCAACCAATCGATGCACTGCCACACTGGCACGAACTCATCACATTTAGCTAGATAAAAATTTGCCACCTCTTGAATTTCCGGTTTCTCGGTGAAAATCGCATGAGTATCCTTCAAGGATTTACGTATTTCTTCTAGTGAATTCCAAACTTCTTCCAAATCAATATTGATTAGCGGATTACCGACGGTTGCTTCTTCGAGTTTTAAGAAATCCAAACATGTCAACCATAATTGACGATATGGTGTAAATCCGCTGATGATACTTTCTAGAAATTCTAGCGAGAGCTCTTCTAGATCGAATAGTCTTTGACGGAATTGCAGAGTTTTACCAAGTTTTTCCAAATCTTGTATTTGTTTCCAAGTCTTTTTGACCTGTTGTGGAGATGAGAACAATTAGTTATAGAAATCTCTGCTGTCTATAATCCGCGAAAATAACTTATTACAGTTCATAAAGACAACAATCACTATTACTCTATTTCCATCTAGTCGTACTAAAAAAATGACGAACCAATCCTTCATACTCAGCTGAGATGGCAGGCGGTTTCTGATCGATCTAGTACCTGTAGCGCACTGTACGCCATGAGCATCACTATAATTTTTTTCTGCGGGTTAGGGGCTCAACAATTTACACGCTGTAAGGCCTGCCTGTTGTAAGAGGCGACTAAAATGTAATAACTCCCGCGAAAGTCAGGTCTTTATACCAGAACGACCCGGATTTTTTGCGGACAAGGACTGCCCATCTGGTAATATTCCCAAAAGACCAATTATTATTACCATTGACGTAGTCGAAAGTCTCCGACACAGTGCTACTATTGGATATTGTGGGCTGCTCTTTACCATCAGGGTTAGACAATTATTGTTCCGAAGTCTGAAGTAAAATTTCTAAGCTTAGCTTAACTAAAAAATACGTTTCCACCTCGAATGTCACACCACCACCGAGGTTGTTATTGTGGTAGCGGCAAGTCTATCCACGCTTAGAAGCAGGAATGATCAATCAAAGTTATCGAGGCCATCCAACAGGAGGTGTAGAAAACATATGAGATAAACTAGCTTTACCTGGCCCTAAACTGAACCGAAAATTTTAAGAACAGACTTCACTTCATTGCGAGAACTCGGTTCAGTGGTCTGTAAACAATTCGCTGAGTTATAATAGATTTCAAGATCAACATTTTATAGATTCGTATGCTGGATCACCTCACTTCGAAAGATTGCTGCTATTCGTACTCACCTCCACAGCAGTTTCGGTCACTTTATTCGGATCAAATATTAGCGAAAATGTTTGTATCTCCTCGTTCAGCGATTCCAGACGTTCCTCGAAACTAATACATTCACTAGAATGTACACGCCTAAATTCCTCAATATCATTCTTCTGCTCCTCACGTAAGGTGCTCAAACGTTGCATGATGTTATGTGGCCAAGCGTAAACCTCCCATTTCATAGCGAATTGTGTATCACTGAGATTATAGAAGAAACTGTCCAGCATTTCATATTCCAACCACATAATCTGTATATCCGCACGCAGCTGCTCGACTACATCAGGTACTGTGGCAGCGAAATCACGTATCTCATACAAATGCTCAATACTCTGTGGGCGATCGCTGATTTTCTGATAAATATTTAAGCATTCTTCCAGCAACCCTTCATTGATGTCCCACATGCGTTGCACATAGTATTCAAAAAGCTTACGTACGATCTCAATGTGTTTCTTAATCATTAACTGTTTCATTATATCAACATTGATTAGAAAGGGACCGATCGTTATGTGCGCTGGCAATATATCGCGTAATTCCTGCTTCTGACGTTTATGTTCCAATATATCGTGTTTGACCTCAGACGAGGAACGTTTCACAGACTCGTACTCTCTCATGAAATCGGGCACGCTCAAAAGATAAAAGTCGACAAAGCGTTCATAGAGACGTGCATAGGAGTTTAACGGTAAGACGGCTTGATTATAACAACGCCCCAATAAGTCATTACGTTCTATGAATAATTCCTCGATTAACTCAACCGTCTCAATGTACAAGTTCGGCGCGAATTTCAGATTTAGCAGCGTCTCCGCCTCGATACAACGCACACCGCTTGTCTTTTCCAACGCCTTTTTGAAGATATCGGTTAGCAGCGGTGAAAAGTCTTCCGGCGTGGTGGAGTAAATCACTCTTCTGGTTTCGGAAACGCTGATAATCAAATAGAAAATTGGTTTTTCACACGCAAATTCGGTTTCTATATAATTATTCGTCCATATAAAGTCCGGTTTTAGCGGCAAGAATTGCAAGCACGGTTCCGTTAAGTATGTGCTAAAGGTTTCTATGGATCTCTCTAGCAGCACCTGTATGGATTCTTGCATGCGAAAACGCGTTTGCAGTATGAAACGTGATATCTTGCACATCTGATAGACACTCCATTTATCCAGGCCGATGTCCAGCCAACCTTTGCCGAGCGCACGCAGTACCAACGTTATGCCGGAGGAGATTTTTTGTGGCCAAAAATTCTTCAAATATGTAGCGACATTATTACTATTCGATTGCTGTGATTGTAGGAAATCATTCAGCGCTACCGGTTTAACGAAACCGGTTAGAAACATGGATAATGTCTCTATATATTGACACTGCCCAGCTACGTTACCCATTGCCTCAACCCCCGCGCCAATATAGAATATCGTGGAACGTAGCAGATAATACCGTAATTTTGGTATATTCACGCGCAAATTCTTCACGCTCCTGGCCTCATTGATATTCGTTAGTGATTTGAAGGCGCGTGGCAATGATTTCGCTATGAGATTGTCGCCAAAAGCCGGGAATTCCTTGGGCATTAGCTTAACGAACTTTTCAAATTCATAACAAGCCATTAAATGTTCGAAGACGAGATAAACTTCGGTACGCAATTGATATTGGAATTTTTCATCGGCCTGCCCAATCATCTTGTTCAATAGATTATCGATACGTTTATTCGGCATGAAGCGTTGATCTTCAATATCTTGCAGCAGCACACAATCAACGATCGACTCCATTTTGATTAACCGTTCGGCAGTGCTGCGTTCATTTAGTGCTTTTCTCAAACGCTGTACGAAAATTCGAGGATTGTCTGCGAGAAACATAATTTGTATGGTTGGTACTTCGTATGCACACTCGTCGTTCAGACCGAAGACAGTCCATTTGCATGTGTCTGCATTATAGGCGCTCACTGCTGCGTATTGCCAGCGATAATCGAAAAGACCAGCGTAAGGTAGAAATGCCTTTGCTGGCAACGGATACAATTCACCTTCTACTCTGCCCAAAGCGAACCACGCATCCGGTGAATTGGTATCGTAATCTGAGTCGTCGAAGAAGCTCAAGGGTAGAAAATGCTTGAATACATTATCGGAGAGCATGTAATAGAGCGCTTCGGTGGGCATGAGATCCTCGTTTGCTATGCCGGCTTCCTGCAGCATTTGTAGCAAACTTAATTTGCTATTCTGTCGTCGTCGACGGTCGATTTCAACATCGCGCGGTAAATGTTTGGGCGGCACAGTGCGCATCATTTGTACCTTCGGCAAAATGGTTTGTAGTGGGAATTTGTGTTGGCGACCATTTTTCCCCGGCAAGACAAGCCATTTTTGTGCGGTCTCGGTGTGGTAATGACTGGCCTCTAAGAATTCGGTTGTAATAATTACCTCTGGGAATTCGGTCGGTTGTTCCACGGAGATTGGTGGACAAATGGTGTGTTTTTCCTCGCGTTGTATTTCATCGGGTGTGGCAGCATGCTTGAGTATGTTTGTGGAATATATGCGCTGCATTTTTTGTAAATTGATATGGAGTTGCGAGAATGTTCGTATGAAAATATTCTATTTTTTTTTTGTTTTGTTAATTGAGACACTTCTTTCATTGGGGTTTTCGGTGAGCTGAAGTTGTTATTTCAGTGCAGTTAAACTTTCATATATTTTCGGTTCCCTTTGTATTTTAAAGAAATCGGAAACGAAATGGTGATGGTCTCAGCGTTGAAGCCTTCTAACATTAATTAACACGAGCTGACAGACCAGTTTCGGTTATTGGTTTCGGTTATTGAGCACGTTGAGCATTCACTGGTAAGGGTGTTACCATAACCTTAAGTAAGCTAACTATACCTCGTATTCATACAGAGTCATGGAATCGGGATGTATTAGCTGGGAATGAAAGCTTGTATTAGTGCCACTTCTTTCTTCAGCTTCTCTTCCGGCATCGTTTATGCCGTCTTAACAACACAACGCCATTCGTTTCTTCTTTTATCAAATTTGGAGGTACCAAATGAAACCAGATTCTTCTTTGCCTCATCTTTCAACAGAGTTGAAGACCTCAACTCTTTCTCTCTGCATCCGGACTACATGACCCAGCCAGTGTCTTTTGATTCCGTCGTTGTCAGTGAAGAGTAACTTGGAGAGTTTTATTCGTCGAGAAAGGACATTACTTTTTAAATGTCTACTCAGTCCAAAGTAGCAAGAGTTATTCTGCGTTGGTTTTTCAGACTGGTACGCTAGATAGTCAAAATTATTTACGACCACGTCGCAAGCGAAAGACGTAAGTGAGCTGACTGTTTGTTTGAGGACAAGAGATATTTCACCCCTAGCTACCAGACACATTATTTTCCCTGCCTTGGCAAGCTTGTATAAGGCAGCACTAACGGCGCGGTTGTTGAGAGCTTTTAAAAGATAGCACCTAGTCTATTTAGCTTAGCAGCTCTTATTACTTTCTCCATTGAAAAAATCGCATGATAAGGAATTAGCTTGCCAGAATCTTTTTTTGGTATCGACCGGCTCGAAAAGGTCCTTACCTATCCTGCTGGAACTTTTGGTATTGCTTAACACCCTTTTATAGAGCAGTATAAGCGGCCGTGCTAGCCGAGTGGTTAGCACTGCGTACTGACATTCGGAAGGCCGGTGCCACCAACATCCAAAAGTTATGGAAATAAAAAATTTAGTTAAATTTTCTAATTACAGTCGTCCCTAGGCATGGAATGTCCATCCTTCCGAGTGTGCTTCGGACATGAAATGAAGGTTCTTAGTAAAAGAACTATCAGCCGTTCGGAGGCGGCTTAGTATAAACTGTAGGTCCCTCCATTTGTTGTAAAAGAAAATCAAGAAGCAAAAACAATAAATTGGAATGAGCTCGTCCGGAAAATCGCGTTAGCGGCTAGAATTCCGAAGTTTCTAAATGTCGAAAACGAGGTGTAGGTAAAGCCAGTGCCAGCGTCTCACTAATGCCATTTTCCCTGCTCCTTCTGTAAGCTTCGTCGTTAATGATGCCCATTCGGCTCGTGTCTTGTAAATTGCCAGTAAATTGTTACCATCTCATTTCATGACAGTCCTTTCCTAGGGATCTTGGAAGTTAAGCTTTCCAGAGTTTTTAAATTTGATTGTGCAAAGTTTTAAGCGACCTGCGCATTTCCTCTACTGGTACAGTTAACAGACGGACGAAAATTTTGCCAATCTCGGCAAACATTTTGTTTTACAGAATGCACTTGTGACCTGGAGGCCAGCCCATATGGTTTCCTGTGTTTTTAGCTTTCTCAGCAGCTTGTTCATTCGTGAAGATTTCCGCGTGGAAGATACTGCACTACGGACTTAAAAACTTCCACTTTCCCTTTCGAGCCAACTCATTGAATATTGGCACCAGATTCCTAGACAACAGCACATCATAGATACAGTTCTAGGCGCCCATACAAAATATCTTTGGTTATATGGACCGTCTCCTCAGCCTTAACTTTTATAAGGCACCAACGCAAAAACCAGAAATTGGAGGAGGAACTCGTCCAAACATTCCAGGTTTATGTCCTCAAATTGTGTATTTTCATTGGAGGAGATTTTTCATGTGATGGACATAAGCACAACTGCGATCACTGTCTCACTTTGGCTCGTGTCAAATCGAATGTTTGGCTACCTGGACGATGCTTGGCTTAACTCCAGAAGTCGTGATCTACTCGAACCATATGTAAAATATACATTTCTGTCTCCCAAGGGAATGGCAATCAAAAACTTTTCTCAATTGGGTGACTCTCTATACACGACCCCATTGAGATTGTCATGTCTTTTAATAAGGTTATATAAGGTTGTCAAATATTCCTTCCGCTTTTTTGCTCTTCATTCAATGCTTTATAAAAAGTGTTACAGTGATCGGATTTAGTTAAAATATGCGCCGTTTTGTTCGATGATCTGTTTCCATCTAGACGGCAACTTCATAATACCTTCCTCGTAGAAGCCCCCTCATTATTTGCGACGAATTCGGACAGCCACTTTTCACAAGCCTCTTTTGAGTTCAACTTCACACCACCAAGGGCATCCGCCATGGACACGGATAGGAGGTAATCACTTGGCGCTACGTCCGGGCTATATGATGGATGCGATAAAACTTCCCATCCGAGCTCCCGTAGCTTCTGACGAGTCATCAACGAAGTGTGTGGTCTGGCGTTGTTCTGGTGGAACACTACACCCTTCCTGTTGGCCAATTCTGGGCGCTTCTGGTCGATCGCCTGCTTCAAGCGGTCCAGTTATTCGCAGTAGATGGTAGAATTAAGCGTCTGGCCATATGGGAGCAGCTCATAGTGGATGATTCCCTTCCAATCCCACCAAACACACAGCAAAACCTTCCTGGCCGTCAATCCCGGCTTGGCCACTGTTTGGGACGATTCACCGGCCTTCGACCACGACCGTTTTCGCTTGATATTGTCGTATGTGATCCATTTTTCGTCGCCAGTCACCATCCGCTTCAAGAATGGGTCGAGTTCGTTCCGTTTCAGCAGCATATCGCAGGCGTTGACTCGGTCCAGAAGGTTTTTTTGCGTCAAATTATGCGGCACCCAAACATAAAACTTTTTTTGTAGCCAGCCTTCTGCAGATGGTTCAAAATGGTTTGGTGACTAACTCCCTCCTCTCCTGGGCGATGTCACGAGATGCCGTATGCCGAGACCTTTCAAATTATGTACAGTGTTGCCACATAGCCGCGAAATTCAAAAGACAAAAAAGCTTAAGGGAGATATTTGACAACCCAATAAAAACAGAATGGAGAAGAAGAAATTCGAAACTTTTCCATATGATAAACATTAGCTTCGGTTGGTTGAAAGGGAAGGATTAGGAAATGAGCAGGTGGATACACTTAGGTTTTTGAGTGGGATCGCTGTGCTCTATTCAGCTTTGGAAAGCTTTTTGATGTGCGTGTCAATGCCTTACAATCCATCGAACTTCTTGTGAATTGGAAAGGATAATAACAAAGGGAAGAAAAACAAAAACCTTTCGGTATTTTCGGTAGCTTTAGTTACAATTAGATACTAATCTTAGAGCAACCATATGTATATATATATATATATTTTGTTCATGTGTGCGTATTCTAGGGGCTAAATTCTAAACTATGTTCAGTTTATTTATACGAACACGTTAGTTTATGGGAAAAAGCATAAAATTTATCACTAAAATAATCCATATTAAAGCGGCATAACAATGCGAGATCCCCGAGCTGTAAACGTCTTTGGCATAATCAAAGAACATTACGGACACCATTAGTGGCACCTCGATGACTTCATCCAGTTCAAACTCCAAATCATTACGTTCGCCAAACAACAATGTTGCCTGTTTAACCATTGCTTGTTGCGTTATGCCCGCTTCGGTGAAGTGACCCACTAGGAATTCGTAGGCGATATTTAATAACATATTGCGACAGCTGAAACTTTGCGTGTGTGCATTAAATTCACCACTAATGGGTGGGAAATTTTGATTTTCTACTTTTAGTGGCGTCCACTGGTCGCTACGATTCTCAGGTCGACCCAAACGAGAGACAAATAATTCGGGGAAATTCACACCAAATTGAAAAATATTTGCGCTGAAAAATTGCCGTGTAATTTCAGTTTGTAATTGTATACAAATTTCAGTGAAATTGCGTACGTTTTGTGAAATTTTCGATATACGCTCTCTGCTGAAACGCAGCTGACATTGTTTCAAAGTACTTATGCCATAACTAATCACATTCGCTTGTGTGGCAGTTTCGTGCTTGCAATATTCACGTTGTGTTGTGAATAGTGAAATTGTGTGATTTACGGGGGTTTTTGTATGGTTCACGTGAAAATAATCCAAAACTTGATTTGTGTGTGATATTGTTTCACTTTTATTGTTTGCTATAAAACGTGCTATAATTATAGGCTTGCCTTGCAGGTAACCCAGTGGACCGGAGTTGAGCTTTGTTGCATGTTCATTGCTGTAGCTTGTCGCATTTGATTCCTCGTCGCTCTGCATTATTGTTGTGTTTTTATAAATATATTCCAATTGGTAGGTTTGCCATAATTCCTCGTTATCCTTGAGTCTGTTACTTACACTACCACCGAACACCACTAAACCACCCAAAAGTTGTGTGTAGTTGTGTAGTAATATAAATTTAATTTCGGTAGTGTAGTGTGTTTTCAGGCGTTGCTCGACGGCGCTATTGTTGTTGAGTGGCACAATTTCACACAATTCTTTAGTACATATTTTGAGTTTGAATTCACTCAACACATTGGTTATTTGCTCAGGTTCGCTGGCCTCGTTTATGGGTTTCAAAAGTAATTTATTATTTTGTATGAATTTTAATGTATTTTCCGTATTTAATTGCACTTCCTCAATTGAGTTTAATAAACAATTGGTTTGGTAGGATTTTAAGAATTTGACAGTTTCTTTAATTTGACAGTGTGGCGGTTGAAAAGTATTCGGAAGATCTAAGGTAGAGGTATACCCGTTTAACGGTAATTAGTTGAGCGTATAAAACAGTATTTTTTTTTGCATTACTTACTAAATTCTTTTAATGTCATTGTTTTCATATTCAAAAATTGCAAAGGTTGATTGTATTTGTAGTGACCCAAATCATCAGCTAAATGTTGTTCACCATCCATGTCCCAGACGGGTGTAGACCATTTGAAATAGTGATTTGTATCCAAGTCGATTTCAGGTGCCTGGAATGAGGAAATGGAGATTATCCTAAGCAAGCAAAGCTACGCCAGCCAAATGAAAAATGAAAATAAAATGCTTGACAATGAAGAGCCTGAGAGACTAACACAAGGTTTAAACTCCCGAGCATGCCTGGTGTCTGATACCCAGAGTACACTGAGGCTTTGTATGGAATACTTTTCCGGTTCGCTGAAAAGCGGTGAAAGTGACGGCGAACCTGAATTTACCAATTCGATGAACAGATGTTTCTTCGACTTACTATGAAGAAGTTCGAAAAACAAACGCCTGCTTGAAGAACCACAAAACGGCTGTTACCCGACTATAAAAAAGTCCATCGCATGCCCTCCTAAAAAGCCAAAAACAAAAAAGCCATGCCTAGGCGAATAGCCTAGATATTGTGAAGAACTGAAAAGTACTTTTTTTTTCAAATGTGAACGGCTGAGAAAATAACCGACCATTGAAACTTAAGTACGCTCAAAAAAAAAAAAAAAATTAAAAAAATTACGCCGCAATCTAAGCCAATTATCGGAGCCTCATTTTTGTCGTAACTAAGCGACCACTGAGCGTATTGTGTGAAAGATTATTAATATACGGACTTGTAACAGTGCGACCAGACATTTACCATATGACAAACCTTGGAAAACATTGTGGAAAGTGAAACAACACAGCTTTCTACAGCGAGAAGAGGAGCTGTCTCTTCGCCGTTATGTCCGTATTTAGTATTCAATACTTATGCGGCTATTTAAAGTGATGCTGGAGAGGAAAGATCTCTTCGAGACGTTAAATTAAGGCGACGTTTCACCAAGAAAAGGTAAAATATTCTAAAAAGCCTTCAACTTCTAGTGTGGGGTATTGAGATCATCGGTCACAAAAACTTCGCTGTTAGCTCTGCTTTCATCGAGTTGGATAAGAAAGCAAAGCGTATGGACCTAGTAGTGAAGGGGGTGAGGCGAAATATTTTTTCTGTTATCAAATAAACAGTCAGCGCATTCGTGTCTCTCACGTCACTGCAGACAGACATAACTTTCAGTAATCCAGGAACGGTCATCAATACCAGCAACAATGTCAGTCAGTGAAATAGGTACTTTGGACTTACTGGGCAGTCAAAAAGTAAAGTTTCTCTCGACAAACAACGACCAAACTCGACAACTCGCCAATTATTCTTGTCTAGCATTATGATGCATAAGCGTGTACATTGACGTCAACTGCTAGGTCAGCGCTAGGAGCTTCCTAGAGAAAGGTTTTGCGAAGGATTTATATTTACGTATTTAGGTAGAAGAAGATCTCCATTTCGCAAAAAATACGAAATATGAAGCGGTATTTCAAAGTTGACGCTGATCAGCGAAGAGCAGAAACGACTGGCGTCCTATTGTTAACTCGTCCATAATTACGCCACCAACCAAGAAGAAGAAGAAATACCATCTCTTACCAAATATCAATAACAACCCTTTTCGTTACCATACTAAAATCTAGCTGTGTGTAAACATGTGCTGCTGAACACTGACGAATGTATAAATGGTGAGTCCTTTTTGTAGTTCATATACCAGTGCCGGTGACCGCAAAAGCCGAACGAGTAGCATTGCTTAGTCCCTTTCTGAATATTGGGGTTCAAGTGCTGTTTCTACCAACACATTTATATAAAACTAACATTTCGAATTACGGTTGCATGGAATGCCAAGCCCTTTGAGTGAAATAAAAAGCTCCTCATAAAAACTCCATCACCCGTTTGGAGGTGGCTAAAGGGATCGACCGAAAATTGCTTCAGCACACCATTAGCAGAACAATACTACCTGTGTCGTCAATCGAAAATGTTTTACTAAGACTCACTATCCCCATCTTCTTCCATTGACTTTAGACCATAAACATGAAGTTTAATTTGGTTAATTCGTTTGGGTCTAACGAGCCCTGTCTCCCACTATTTACTATAGGGGCTGGTGAACACCCGCTTACGGTAGTGAGTTCAAATCCTGACTAGGCTGCTTGTTCATAATGACTTGGAGCCTAAACTCAATTACTTAGGACGAAGTTATCATCCGGAGATATAAAATAGTTGAAGCGATTTTCGACTACTGCAATGTTACTTCTAGTATTTGTTTATACTTATTTCATTTACCTTCTGCCGCTCCTTTCGCGTATTCGTCCGAAACACGCACAACCAACCATCGTTCACTTTACACGACGGCAGACCATGCTGATATTGAAAGTCCTCTAAACGGCTTCTTAATTGCGGCTTCATGTTGCGAATTTTACAATTGAAGATATTCAATGCTTCTGGCATACAATCTCTATCACAACAACAATGTACATCACATGCATCCAACAATAAATCACAATCACAATAATAAACACCAGAATTTGTGGCTTCACCAAAGGTATTTGCATCACCGGGATTAGGTGAAGAGTTTGTTGTTGTGTTAACGGCTTCGGTGCTCGTTGGTGGTGGTGATTGTGTTGAAATTGTTGCTGCTGTGGTTGTTTTTGTTGTTGTCGTTGGAATTTTTGGTGATTTCGTAGTGCGTAGACGTGGTGGAAATATAGCGATGGTGAAGTTGGGGTATATAGTTGTTGTCGTTGTTGTTTTGGGGGCAGTTGTGCTTTCCACATCCGTTTCTGTTACATCACTTGTGGCAGAGATTTCTTGTATATATGTTGTTGTTGCTGTTGTTGCTGTATCTGTATAATCAGTTGGCGTTAGTGCTGTTGTTGAAGTTGTTGTTGTGCTGGTAATGTCAATATTAACTTTTGATATACCAATTTTAACTGTTGCTACAATATGCAGCAGGAGAAGTAGGGTTGCCGTGACTAAGAGTATTCTCCCCATTTTGCTTGGCAAGCGAACGTTCTTAACGCTTTACTTAAATTCCACACCAAATTTTGCGAAATTGCGAAAAATCAAATTGAGATCGATAATGATTTTTCCCGATGAGCGTGTTTGTAGTTTGTATCTGAAATTTAAGACTATTTTAGCATTTTTTATATTTACATTTGTTTTATTTAACATTTTTTTAATTTTCAAAATAAAATACTATTAAGTACTTAAAACTGCTTTCCCTAAAAAACGGTGTTATTTTGATATGCAAAGAAAATTTTTCTTTTAAAAATTCGATGGTTTCGTTGCTTATAAGGCGGCTCAAATAACTAGTCTTGTTGAAAGTAAACGTTTTCCAAATCAAAAGCACCTCAAAACCGGTCATAATAAATCGTTAGTCATCTCTCATAGCGCAATTTATTCACCGTAATTGTTGCTTCATGCTCATTTTCGAACAAATAAGGTTCAATGACTCCACCGGACCCTGAACAATAAATTTTGGGTTCTCCGAGCCTCAGGATCGAAAATTTTGATTATTGAGGCAGCGATCGAGGTAGAAGTGGGCCTCATCAGTTAAGATGATTTTTCGATAAAATTTTAATAGTGAATTTTAACAATTTCAATGGGTTATTGAAGCGCGTTTCCTTCCATTTTTATTACTGGAATAGTTTTTACTTGTCAAATGTCAAAAAATTACAGCTTCAAAATTGGCATAAACCGAAATAGCAGGCTGTAAATATTTGACGAAGCGGTAAAGCACACTTTTAGGCGCAGTACTTCTCACAAAAATTAAGTTAAATATTGTAATTGCAGTCGCCCCTTGGCAGGGAATGCCAATCCTTCTGAGTTTATATACATATGTATGTGTACACATTTATATACATATATATACTTCTTACAATAGTGATGATAAAAATTAAGTGAGTGATGTCCGATTAACTTAATACAAGTTTCTTCAGTTCAATTGGAATTTTTTTTTTTTAATTCTTTATCAAGCCATATTCACTTACCTCTCAACTCCTGTATATATCAGATCCGGTTTACTGAGTCCCACACCACCGCCGCCGAATTTCTCACGCACACTATCGTACCAAGTAAGAGGCGCCACCTTCCAAGTGAGCAACTCTAAGCGATGTGCACCTGGTCGGGTGGGTATATGCACAAAACCGTAACCCACTGGCCAACTGTTATGTAATAAATTTACTGCATGTAATTCCACATGCAATTTTGGCCAACCCTGCACTGAGGCTGTAGCTAGGTGTATATCCAGTGGATGGGCGAAATCGGATGTTGGCTCGAGACGATTTGAACAGACAAGTGTCTGACCGGCCACTTCGCCTTGTATGAGTTTCCAAGCGCTACCTGTGCGGAAGATTGCAGTAATATATTTATATTGATATGGAAAATTTATAATATCAATTCGTGTTTCATTTCACGTACCGCTTTGTAAACTCCACTTGCAGTAAATGTGTGGTTCGACAAAATCAACGGCTTTTAAAATTTGCCCGATGATATGCACTTCCGCCATCAAAAGAATTTATTCACCATAAATATATACTATATGTACACGTGTATATTCACAGCACATAACTCTTTATTTAAAATTCTGTTTGATTATTTATTTATTTTTTATTTAAATTGTTCTACTTTCCATAATTTATTTTATTCATAAAATCCGTTCCTATTTTCATAAAGAGCTCAGCACGTGCTTTTTGTGATAAAAAAAACCGCATTTTATATGTTGACTTTTACAATATATCGTTTTTTCTCAATTTTGAGTTGTTTGTCGTTTGCGATCACCTTGGTTACTCATAGAAGTTGCCACACCTTGGTAAAAGTTGAAAGGAACTACCCTTAGAAAGCATTTGGTTCATTTTGTTCACCCTGTGTTTGGTGAGTCGTTTGCATATCAGGGCAATAGATCAAAGCTTAAGGGTTGAATGATTAAAAATTGCGGCCAAAATGTAAGAATTTTATAAAATTACTATATTATGAATGCGTGTGTCAAAAAGTTTCTCATATCTGCCTTAGAAATATTATATTTTTATAATTTTTTCTCTTTAAATAAATAGGTTTCAAAGCAGAGCAGGAGCTTACAATCAGCAGTGCTTTGTACGCAGCGTATATGAGGTATTGAAATATTGATAGCGGGATCTTTTCTCTTTTGACGACGATGAACCCAGCGTTACCCACCAACCGTCTAATCGACCGAGAGGCGCTCGTGAAGGATAATCGGAATATCAAACAGACTAGTGACCGAAAACCAGTGACAGTCAGAACTGCTCTGAGCTCGCGGTCACAGTAAGTATGTTTTGATAACGGATAGACATTCAGAGAAATCTTTGTTAGTGGAATGAGTAATAAAATTGTTGCATGTGCATTTAAAAGGGTTCGGAACAAACAAACTTTGGTTTGGCATGCACACAATGGTCATTGAACTCCTTAGCCTAACGTTTAATGAATGCTGAGACCTGTTTTGCCTTATTAGGATATTTTTCTTCTTTTTTACTGGCGTAGCCTCCCGATTACGCGTTAATAGCCGAGTTAACAACAGCGCGCCATTCATTCCATCTCTTCACTATTTTACACAAATAAGAAATACCAAGAATAGCAAGGTTCTTCTCTACCTGGTGTTCCCAACGAAGTGGAGTTGCTCTTCATCCTATTTTCCCTTCTTCAAGTCTGTAGTAATCTTTTCCATCCGCATCACAGGACCGGTGGCTCGGTCAGCTAGTAGCCGCTGTCTCTTAATTCAACGAACTATGCCAATGTCACCGCATATCTCGTACAGCTCATCGTATAATGGGCAGTGGTATTCGCCATTGCAAACGCGAATAAAACCATAAATCTAACGTAAATCTTTTCTCTCGAAAACTCCTAACGTCGAATCATCAGATGTTGTCATCATCCATGCCTCCGCATCACAAGTCAAAACAGCAGCTCATAGTTTTCGGTTTTCGGACTTTACTTTTCATTTGCTTACTCATTTCAAAGTAGCACCAGTTGGCAAGAGTAATTCTGCTTCAGATTTCAAGATGGACATTTTGGTTGGTGTTAATACTGGTTCCGAAATACGGGATAGACGAAATTTTCCACGACTTCAAAGTCACGAAATCGACAACAGTTTGGTTGATGACAGGAGATATTTCATCTTGTCTTCGTTCACTTCCAGACCCATACGCTTCGCTTTCTTATCCAGTATGGAGTGGAAAGAGAACTCACGGTACGACTGTTGGGGCCAATGATGCCAAGAATGTACAGCTGTACTTATAGAAGTTTGAACCTTCTTTATTTTGCCTTACAGCAGCCTGGGTGGTTAGTACTGCGTACTACGATACGTTCGAAAGGTTCGACCAATATTTAAAATGTAGCGCATTCTTCCGACTTCTCATATGAAAGTCAAAGCCCTTCACAAAAATCTATCAGTCGTTCGGTGATGATCTCCATGAAAATAGGAAGACGCTCATGACAAATTGGAGAAGGAGCTGGGTTGATAATCGTATCACCGTTTACAAAGCTCCACTCATATTATTCAAATGTCCTAGTAAAAATGGCTGAACTCCCATTTAACAAACTGATCTGGGGACTTTATGTAAATATCATACTTTTAAACTTTAAATCGACTTAACCTAAACCAAGGATGACTCAGATAGAATTTATTGACTCCCATAAGCTATAGCAAGTTCATAGTGCTACCGGAAAAGCAAGATATCACGACTCCTGCTACGTCTCTAGTTCGTTCTCTTAGGAAATTGAAAAAAGCATTTTTGTTTTGTGTCCATTATAGGTTGCATATCCTCATCAAATATAATCAAGATATGTCTACCAGGAACGGGGCTACACGTACTAAGTACTTTTACTGTCACCGTCCACCGATTCAAAACTTGACTTTTCATTTCTCCGTCAGCCTTTTGATTGTCTCTTTACTTAGTGGAGCAATTAACGATCTCAAGACTTTAACGGCTGATCTTCTATATAGAAATCTATGTATACTCCTCCGTCCGTCTCAATTGTATCTGCCAGAAGATTCCCAAAAGTCTAGAGCAGATCAATTTTGCCTACTCGTAATCTTAAGTACAACGCTACATTACTGTTGAGGGTTATAATATTGAGCACTGCCATGATTATTAAATGACTTTAGGCGGTCATTAAAAACCCTTGATTTTTATCATTGGCTTCGCTGGCGGGAAACTGGAAGATACGACACCAATGGTATTGCTTAAGAGCTCTGGACACACGAATCACGGAAGGCCACTTATGCTTCTCTGTTAAATGGTCACGTATATAAATATATTTATCTATTTCTTCCATTTAACCGGCTTCAGCTATGACCATAAACCTTGCCTGGAAGACATAGTTATAGTTATTGAGTTTTTATCTACTTTCTCTATGGGGTAGGCCACAGAAGAACCTTGTCTGTCTTTCCTGTATGCCTCCGTTGTACTTCACAGCTAGGAGGCTGGACCTAATTGCCTAGAACTTTCGTGTGGTAGTGGAAGGATAAGCCCCTTAGACTTTATATACAGTACATATAATGGACCGAATTACGTAAATATTTATGAAGCAAGACATTAAGTAAAAGATACAATTTTTTTATATATTCATGTAACACCTTGTAGAAAATCAGGGGAAATATATTTTTTCATGTCAAGCTCACTTCATTCACTCTAATCACTCTTGCTGAGAATAATTCAATAAAACTTGAAAAACAATTAAAAAATTATCTAATTTTCAAAATTTTCGTAAATAAAAAACTAAAAAAATTTATTAAGCTACCCTGAACATTGCTAAAACCGCTTTCTTAGCAGCAATTTATTAATTCAACTAACGAAATAAATTTAAATTATTTTCATTTATTTTAAAAATTAACTGCATTTATATCACGCTTGTTTCGTTCATGCACAAGTCGAAGAAGAAGAAATCGAAAACACTGATAATAATAGAAAAGTTAAAAGTACGGTAGAATAAGGTGTCGGCGAGCACCATTCGGTTATGCCCACACCAGCGCAAGAAACTCACATACAATGTTCGTCAAGCAATATCGGAGTGAAACCGACATTTGACGCACTTCGCAGCAATACGAGCAGTGATATTAGTGGCACTGAATATAAAATCATTGCCCAAGGCGTATTGCGTCAACACGGCGGTGCCGGTAGAGATGATGAGCGATCTCAAGCCTCAACCTCAGTGCATCATGTGGAATCTTCTACAACTATAGCCACAGCCGATGCCAAGTCCTACATAAATGGCAGACCAAAAACAATATTGGAAGATCATGGCATTGTTTTGGGTAAAGTGATCGGAACGGGTAATTATGCTAAAGTGAAAATCGGCTATTCGGAGGAGTATGGAAAACGTGTCGCGGTTAAAATAATATCAAAAGTAAAAGCGCCAGCCGAGTATACGACAAAATTTTTACCACGCGAAATTGAAGCTGTTAAAGGACTGCATCATGAGAATCTGATAACCTTCTATCAAAGCATTGAGACTAGCCATAGGTGAGAAGAGTGAGGGGTGAATTGGAAAAATGGAAGTTACCCGGTTATTACAATTTGTACTGCTAAATATTCTAAGTTCTCTTTTGCGCAGTGCTAGTTTGGTCTGTGAGTAATCCAGTAGTAAGTGGTTTAACTAAAAATGCTCCAGAACCTTTAGTGTTTATATAGGGTCCAGAGGTTTAGGCAACATTTAAGGGCGCCGAAAGGTCTGGGACAGTCGACAATGACAACTTAAGCGACGACGTCACTGCCAGCCAGTTCATATGTTACCTTCTACATTCACATGATCAGGAATCCAAGTGATGTTATATGTGTTTCCGCGATAGTCTGTTAATTTCTCCATTACATGGACTTTGTATAGACGCATTTAAAAACCATTTTTACCTCTTGGCTGCCAAAAATAAATATATTTATTAATTTCTTCCATTTGACACCTTCAGCTGTGCCCATAAACTCTGCTTGGAAGACAGAGTTATAGTCTTTGAGTTATAATCTTACGTCTCTATGGGGTAGGTCACAGAAGAACCTTGCTACTGTGCCTGTTTATACCTATTATTTTAGTCTGTATTTCCTGTATGCCTTCAATGTCCTTCACAGCTAGGAGACTGGACCCAATTAGCTAGAACTTTTAGACGTTTAGCTGTTAGCGCTGCTTAAAAATCCCCGAACTTTCTTTAGGTAGTCCTCAATCAAGTACACATGTACGTTGCAACTGTTCCAGAAGTCTAATACGCTATTTTATCTTTAATACCGCAGACCATACTAGTGCCCCATATGCTATCATATAGGTTTTACGACACCTGATGAAACCAGTACGCCATTTGGAATCATAGCTCCCTTTTTTAGCATAGTATAGTCTTTCTGTAGCATTCCACATTTTCTAGTTAACAGGCAGATCTCGGATTTTTTAAGGTTTTCAGCCTAATCAGTTGCGTTTTCAAACGCCACCTCACTCACTCATGATAGACGATTGTGATGTTTGTCCGAAGATGGGATGGCGATACGCTTAGTCCAGTACCCTGTCAATAAATGATAAGCCAATACGATTTTTGTGCGATGTAATCTTACTCACCAGTTTTTTGGACGAAAATCAATCACCCTGATGGTGTTGCAGATTTACTTAATCTAATCTCCTCTATTTATGTTCCCACATCTAGAGTTTACTTAATCATGCAATTGGCAGAGAATGGCACACTGCTCGATTATGTGCGCGAAAAGAAATATCTAGAAGAATCTCATGGCCGTAATCTATTCCGTCAGTTAATGAGCGCAGTTGAATACATTCATTCCAAAAATGTAGTGCATCGGTAAGTGTATAAACAACTACGACATTTATGTCCTCATTATAAAACATTTCATTGACAGCGATATTAAGTGCGAAAATCTTCTGCTGGACGAAACATTCACCCTAAAATTAATAGATTTTGGATTTGCGCGCAAAGATACACGCACCACGGATCAACAGGTGATACTCTCGAAAACATTTTGCGGTAGTTATGCCTATGCAAGTCCAGAAATTCTGAAAGGTAGTAATTAATTGCCAACAGCAAACTGTGCTCTTCGATTTATTTATAATTTAATCTGTGAAGCTTTTTTCCCACCTACAGGTATTGCGTACGATCCCTTCATGTCGGATATCTGGGCATGCGGCGTGGTATGTTATGCCATGGTTTTTGGTCGCTTACCATATGATGGCTCCAATGTGCATATATTACTTAAACGCATCAACGCTGCACTTGCTTTTCCGAAAAGTCCTACGGTCAGTCCCGAATGTAAACAGTTAATTGGTCACATATTGGCACCGCTAAAAGTTCGATATAATACACCGCAAATTAAGGAGGATCCTTGGTTTAATAAAAAATAGGATTGGGGTATAAATATTTGCATTATCAAGTAAAATCTTAGCATTTCTAAGCACAATTTAAAAATTAGACGAGAAATTGTAGTTTGGTATGAAATTAGTATATATACGTTGATTATCTAAAGAAAAGTATTAATAAAATATAACGAAACAATTAAAATGTTTTTATTATTTGTTTTTGTTTTGTTTAACTAAATAATGATGCTGCGTAAAACCTTTGGCATAAGCAAGCGAATACTCCAAAATAAATGGAAAGTGCAAAAGCAAAAGAAATTATTTAATTTTTTAATTTAAATTAGCAGTAAATATGTTAAAGTATTTTTTAACTATTTTAATTTAATTTTCATTTTATTTTCATTTGTTTTATTTTATTTATTATGCTCTGCTATTTTTTAAATTAAATTTAAATTATTAGCTTTTTAATTTAAAATATGATATTTCAATTTATATATGTAATTTAGTTTAATTTTGTTTTAAACCATTTTATTTTGATTTTTTTTTTATGTTTATTAATTAATAAAATTTGATTTACTTTAATTTAATTTTTGTTTTATTTTATTTGATTTTTTAATTTATTTTAATTTAATTTTTATTTCTACTTTTCTTACTTCATTTCCTTTTGATCAGTTTATAAATATATTTTTATTTTTGCTGTATTTTGAGTTTGTTTGATTTTATTTCACTTCATTTTATATTTTTCAATTATTTAAATATTTTCCTTTTATTTATTTTAATACAATAAATTTGAATGTTTTATTAATTTATTTTAATTTTAAATTACTTTATTTTTCTTTACTTTATATTACTTTAATTTATTTGATTTTGTTGACATTAATTTAATTTAATCAAATTTATTTTTAATTTTTTCTGTTTAAATTTATTTATTTCATTCTATTTCAATATAATTCAATTTAAATTTATTTTATTGTATTTTATTTCAATCTTCTTCATTTTGTTTTTTGTTTTATTTAATTTTTTACTTCTTAGTTGGATTCGATTGAATTGAATATTTTTTAGTATGAGAGTAAAAGAAAAATTTCGGTGACAAAGCATCCCACTCATTCTGAAAGTCCTTAAAAACAGTTTTCTATTATACTTCTGACAAACTGCCATTGAGAATGTTATGAAAAACGTGGAATCAGCTCACCGATGCTATTTATATAGGAATATAGTTTTTATTAGCCATGTTTAATGTCGGAAATACCTTTAAGAGCGTCCAATGAAAGGGGGAAAAATATTCCCACGTACTTTGGCTTAATGGTAAGGAACATAGAGACGTCGTCGGGCCCAGTACTGGGCTCTTTACTCGGCTCTGGTCTCTGGTACGTCACTTACAATGCCATATTTCATCCCAAGTTCCCTGACGGTACATATCTAGTTGCTCATGTATGTACATAGATGATATAGCAACAATAATCACTGCCTATGACACTGAAGACGTACGTAGATAATTATGAAAACGGGCTAAAAGAAAACTTCTTATATCGCCGACTATTGGTATTCTACTTTATGAAGTATTGACGACAAAGTCATGAAGCCGTAGGCATTTTCTTCATCCATTCCCGGAAAAAAGGTGAATTCCCTCTATTTTTTTACTTTAGATGATTTTATTGTAAAATAAGCCCATCAAAATAAACATTTATTCAATTTATTGTGCCATTTTTTTTATCAGTTATTGACCCTTTGTAAAATTAATATTCGTAGAAAGAAATAAAAAATGTCTTGCCTGATTAAAATCAATATTTGAGTTTCAAATAGAGCATTTGCATATATACAAACGAGTATAAGCGATCACACTTCCTTCTTGTGTTCTGCACTCAAATATACAATACAAATATTTAATACGTTTATCCATGTACGAATATGTCCTTGCTTCACTTATAAGTTTATACACGGTGTGTCCTAAAAATAACCAAACTTTATATTTAAATCACACAACATACAGCGCCATCTATTGACAATTTTCAACATTAAAAACATTCATCCTCTTTCAAACGCACCAAACATCATGTAAGTCGGATGACAGATGTAAAAGTGACAACCATTTCAATAAAACCAAAAGTGTGCTAATGGTTCAAAAATAAAATGGAACAAAGAGCAAATATAAAATTTTGTGTTAAACTTGAAAATGAAAAAAGTTTATTGGGATGATTTTATTAGTCGTACGCAAGCTTATACGTGGTTTACACGATTTAAAAATGATCGTGAGGATTTTAATGACGACCCTAGAGCAGGACGTCCAGAAACTAGTAATCGCGCTGAACTGGTGGAAATAGTCCGTGAAATCATTGGTATCGATGCAAATTTTACTACGAGAATGTTGGCTGAGGAATTGAATACGAGTAAAACCACTATTTGGGGAATATTAACCGAAGATTTGGGGAAAAGAAAGGTCTGTGCGCGGTTTGTTCCACATGAATTAAATGACGACCAAAAAATCGCTCGAATTTTTAATGAAAAAAAGGGATTTCTCTCATCGACCATCCTCCGTATTCGCCTGATCTATCACCATGTGACTATTTTTTGATCGTTCCAAACGTTGTGTTGAGTCAAATGGAACCTATTTTGAATAAATAATAACTTTCAAAGATAATATAATGTGTATTTTATTTTATATCCAAAAAGTTCGTTTATTTTTGGGACACACCGTGTATGTGATACAAATATTACAGTGTATGTGTTTGTCACTTTGCGAAGGGCGCAGATACTAAATATGTGCGGTAGCCATTTATTAGGGTTTGGAATGCATTATCGGTGAGATAAATTTACTGTATAATATTTATTATAGCTATCCATGCAAGATAATAAAGAAATAATGATGTTCTTGTTTAAGCAAAATTCAAAATCATCCCAAAAAGAGTTTAATAAGTTTTTAATGTAAGTGACCAGAACGGTTGCTCACATACTACAGTACTACAAATTATAGTAACTAACTGCCACATTCGAAATGTTTTTGGCACCTTTATAAGGATCGCCTATAGACTTTTGAAGAAGCTTTTACGAAAGTGCAAAGAAGATTCTCTTTAAAAATCCCTTCTGGATTGTCATTGATAGTTATTCAGAAGGAAATAAGAGAAGGAAAATTCTCCCCCAGATGCCAAACGATGAATGGACAACCCATTACAGAGAAATGCTGGACATTCTAATGATCGTTTTCAAGAAATGCTGATTCTGATATATATAAAAAATTTTTGGGCCGAAGTAGGATAGAATGGGCATATTTTTAACGAACTAAAAACAGTATAAACTTCATGTTCTACAATGCAATCACACCAAAAACGCCTGTGTTTTGGGCCACCAGACATAAATTTCTCCCAAGGAGCTGTGAGGCCGTTCAGCTTGTTAGGAACTAAACACTCTTTCCACGACGTAGCCTTATTTCCCGTTAACTAGCTGTTAAGTTCGATCTTCACCATTAGAGTCAATAGCAGATTGCCGGTTGAAACCAAATGCAATGTAACCAGAACACAATTTTCGGAGTTTCATAAAAAGTACTAAACGTTTTTAGCATTGAGGAAGGTGAGACAATCGCTTTTAACGGCCTAATCATAGGAATTAAAACTGATCAGCAGATATACGAGCGCTTGATAAGGGTGCCGCAATATGATATTCTTAAACTAATTGTATATTTTTATGACTCAAATTATTAATTTTTCTCAATATTTCGGTGATGCCTTTGCCATAAAGAAAGTAATCAAAAGTTGATATAAAACGAGCCGTGAATATGTAAATCAAGTAAATCGGACCAAAAATATAATAAATTATTTTTTGGAATAGTTTGATTCACTTTCCGAATTTTTCAATTCAGTAGATTACATGGAATGTCACCATTATTTTCGATTAAAGATCCGCTCTTATTTTCCCATGTAATTTAAATTTACCTCAATAATGCAACGATACGAGTTTGGTCATCTAAAATATCACCGGGAAAATTCTGGAAGCAACCAACTTGATGTTGAAAGGAAATATGATCCTGTATTCCAGACCGTATTGCCGTCAGATTTATACAACACTCATCAGAAATCTATAGTTTCCGATTCACTTAGTTCCTGCTATGTCTATGAATAACTCTTAAGGCTAATCAATGCCCAATTGTGGCTTAGATTCTTGGACAACTATGTATATGTCACATGTTCATAATTTTAAGGGTCCAAGCTATATACTAATAACTTTGTATATACACGATATATATACGAGTATATACTCATTTGTTACGAATTTGAATAAAAATAATAGTACATTTTAAAATAAATAATTTTGTATTGATTTTTAGTTACAATAATATCAATCATATGAAAAGTTTAATTAATCGTGTACGAAGTTCTTCCCATTCAAATACTAATATAGTGGATTGTTTGACCAATTCTAACGTTTCCGTCTTCGTCCGTAAATAACTTTAAATTAACGGGAAAATCTGCCATGTAGGTTATCATATTAAAAAAAAAAAGCTTGGTGGTATCCATGGCTGATGATCTCTTACCCTTCATTTTAATAGTATACTGCAATGTTTAACCTCAAAACGCTTAGCTACAGTAACACCTGGTCGGGTCAACTTATATGTACGAGGGGATTACAAAAACGCGGTAATTTGATAAAAAAAAGTTAAAAATATTTTTGTATTTATTCCTAACCTTTGTCCTTTTTTATCTTCTCCACATAAGTGCCATTGATTTCAATGCATTTCTTAACCCCATAGATCCACTTCTGAAAACAGTCTTCAAGATCTTGCTTTTTGTGTTTATCAAGTTCGCCATTAACCGAATTAATTATCTCCTCGCTGCTATTAAAGACCTTTCCCTTTAAATATGGTGCTGGACGTAAAGGGTTGCTAGACTGATCATTTTCGAATTTGTTTAGGGAAAAATTCGAGTAGATTTTTTCGCGTATCCCAGATGATTACTTAATATTCGCGCTGCAGCCAAGTGTGTCAATCGTGGATCTTCGTCAATTTTGGACTTCCCCAGAGCTTAAGTGACGTCATCAGTGGAGGATTTTAGTCGACCATCACGGGGCTCGTCCTCTACCGAAAAAATGTTCGGTCTGGAATTTTGGGAACTACTTTAAAATTGTTTTTAATAATTGTTGAAATAAGCGGGCGCGGAAAATAGGCAACTTTGTATATAACGGCCACCTTAATGTACTTATGTGCTTAGTTAATAA